ACAAAAAATTGTGATGCCTCGAAATACTATATGTATTTGCTTATCGTAAAATGGCAGAAAACGTTAAACTTCAAGTAATAAGAAAACTTTAATAAATGCCTAATTTCTCAGAATCCTTGTTGTTTCTGTTAGTGAAGCATTTCTCAGTCTACGATGTTCACAGTGGACCCAGCTACATCTATTGTCGTGATGTGCTTTTATCTATCTAAAACGCGTCACTGCATGTCTCTCGTGATGTCATCAACAATAAATCCGGCGTTTTTACTAACTTGTAATTGTTTATATTACGTGTGTTTATAGCTGAAGCATAGAGTAAGCTGGAATGATATTATTTCACGTGTCATTTGATGATATTATATGTATTACTAAATAGGTTTATGAGTGTAACATTATAGGTATATAACATTGTTATAGTGAGTTATGTCGACTGGCTAAAATCACTACTGACAAGTACAGTGACTGACCATCAAGTGACCACTACTCAAGAAATTGACAAATGGTAAATTATAATACTTATGTTTAAAATTGTAGTTATATACTATACATTTCTAACATGTTTGGATTTTATTCTATTAAGGACTAGTTGGAGTACCCATCCCATGGACGGAAGTTATATAAATTTATGATTAATGAAAGGTTATTTTATAACATGAAAAGTTGTTTCCCTTATATGTAATTGTAGAAAACGCCCATAAAAAACTGCAAAACACAAAATGTGAAACCGCAAATATCTTCCCCATGGACCTAATGAACCTTCATATCAATTTTGGTAAAGATCCATCTACACCCTACGAAGTAATTACATGGACATACAACAGACAGTAGTCTTATAGTTATATAGATACAGTAGGTTTTTAAATGCATCGTAGTGAAAAACAAAAACAGAATAAACCTCAAGATATCTATATAAAAAAACCATGACGGACAAAAGGCATAGTAAGGATGTGAAGAAAATAAAAGAAATATGTAATATGGATACATAACTCAAATGCTAATACGATGCCCACATTAACCATTTAAAAACAATTATATGGGGCCTTAATCAAACACTTACCGAGACTAGTGATGGTATAGTATGGTGAATGCTCAGAAATAAATATTTCTTTTTATCCCGCTTGAGGTTTAATGGAGATGTCATCGTTAAAAATATATATGTATACTCAAATACATACATACATATATAGACATACATGTCCATGTAGCATGTAACCCATATCCCTAGATGAGGTCAATCTATAGTAGGATTGCCCAGTTAAATCTTAGTAGGAGTTAGAAAAAAAGGAAGAGATATACATAAGAAATAATTATAATAACAGTAATAATAATTATTATTGCTGTAATAAATACGTATAGTGAGTGAATAATTTGTTCAAACGCTAGAATAAAGACTCACATAATTCAACAAATTGATTATAATACACATCACATTAGGATTTCAGTTATGTAACAAGAAGTCAATGTACGTTGCTTTACATTTTAGTTGTTTATTTTCTTTTTCTTTACAACTTTTCCATGTCTTTTGTCCGTTAGGGTTTTTTCTATTGATAACAATATATGGGCAATGTACCATCGCTTCTGGACATGGTTGCTTGCTGATTATTCAAATAAATGAGTTATGCGATCAAGCGTGTATTTCGGTGACCTTTCAGCTTGCATGTTTGTTCTTTCTTAATTAGCTTATTTTGAGAACTTTCCCGTTTTTATACTTTCACATTTGATGTGGAAATAATAAAAAAAAAAGATAGGTTATTATCAATATTTTCTTTGGGCTTTATAGCAGAGGAAACAGCGACCGGTAACTGATATAATAAAATACAAGCTTTATCTCTATAGCTAGCGCATGCTTGAAAAACCGCACCTTCGTGAGAAACTGTAATAAATCTGTGTATGAGCGGCATATCGCTAGTTTTAATGCATCAACCTGCCTTTCTTGTTCTGACCACAAACAGACTTGATCATACTTTATACACTGAACATTTCATTTATAGTTTTAGTCGTTGTAAATATCTTGAACAATCGCATCCTACACAGGAGCAATTACTTTAAATTACACCTGTATTTCTTACTACTTAAGACAAGGAAATACTTGAAATTATTACCGTCAAAAATTTCAACATTTACTGCATAAATCATTTAATAATTGTTTTAACATGAATCGTTTAATAATTGTTTAATACGAATCATTTAATAATTGTTAACGTGAATCGTTTGATAATTGTTAACATAAATCGTTTAATAATTGTTTTAACATGATTCACGTTAAAACAATTATTAAACGATTTATGTTAAAACAATTATCAAACGATTCACGTTAACAATTATTAAACGATTCACGTTAACAATTATTAAATGGTTCATATTAAACAATTATTAAACGATTCGTTTGATAATTGCTTTAACATGAATCGTTTAATAATTGTTTAATATGCATCATTTAATAATTGTTAACGTGAATCGTTTGATAATTGTTTTAGCATAAATCGTTTAATAATTGTTTTAACATAAATCGTTTAATAATTAAGATCGCTAACCGATAGATCGCTGTTTCAAATGTTTTAGTGAAACCAATTTCTTACATAAATGGACTACAGGTTCAAGGGAAGAACGCCCTCTAGGACCTCGATCGCTATGTATAAACTCAACATAACGAGTTTTCTCGAAAGCGTTCTATAGTGAACTAATTCTTTGTGTCATAACAAAAACACTACGATTACCATATACCATATCTAAGTAAAATATATCAGATATTCTTCTGTAGCATCTAAAGGCATAGATTAAACTTAATAACTTAATTTCGTTATTTAGAATAGAAAATCTCTTCTGACAGTTACCATCGTACATTTTCTATAGACATTATATGTATGTTTGGGTTCAGTTATATACCTACGTATTTTTTCATCATTAAAAGAATGGTAACAACTGTTCAAAGAGTTGCTTTTTGCGTGAAACAATAATAATAAAACATTTCAGAAGTTTAATTGTTTGATTTTAGGTCAGGTTCTAACTCTGTTCGTTAGTGAGTCGACTATGCTGCGTGTTTCACTTCTGTTTTTCTAGTTCTGGACGAGATCTGATTACCATCATCTCCTGTCACCGGAAACTGTGAATAGAATATTCAAACCGAAGAAGAGTGGGGCGTTAAACCTCAGTATTTAAAATTTTGAAAAGAATGTTTCTGTGGTAGTTGAATAATGGGTAAATAAACCTCAAGCTCCTTATTTATGTATGTAATCTAAAAAAAAGATAACGTGAAGGTTGTGTGATCTACGAACTCCCTGTTGTCACTGACTTATGTAGACCTCAAGAACTGTATTATTTATTCCTAAAGAAGGCTAGAACTTATGATTTTGGTACTCGTAACTCCTGAGTAGCTGTCTTGGTGTCGTTCGTTTGTGGGCTGAAAAGAATGAATTACTCCCCGTTGGGCTGGAGTCAAGTAGCCACGTCTGTTTAACGGTTGGTTCAGTTTCCTTTTCTGTGACTGAGGAAGTAAGTAAATTTGTGATTCTTTTGTAAAGGAACATCCATCTCTCTCGCGCCCCTGTTCCCTGAATAACTAGCCGCCATTTTTCACGATTTTCTGTCACTCACGCCACCTATATCAACGGACACCATTTGAGAGAGTTGAATAGGCACGTTGTACCAGTAATTGATCGAATTCACCTAGTTTCGTTCCGTGCTGTGCGCCAGGAGTCACTTTCTTGTCAAAGCAGACAATCGACTTCACTTCAAGCACAAAAAGGGAAAATCCACAAAAACTTGAGTCAAGCGGAGACAGTCAATGGTTCGGAACGGGAACAACAAGGGCAGCATCTGTTGAAGCTGGAGGCGTTCCTCTTAGCAATAGAGAATCTATTGGAGAAAATCCGCGTCAGTCACCCTTCACCCGTCAAAAGAATGGGCTGTTAGAAAGAAATAGATGTTTATATCTATATCAACTTTTACTGAAGTATATGTTAAAGTACATCGCAACCGACTATGGGCTTAAGCTTAGGAGTGAAATCAATTTTTCCCTCACCCCATAATTTATACTCTCTTCGTGAGATTGGATTCGTCACACAAGCCATAGTTATAATTATATGCCACTTTATATGCTATTTACAATAACCACTATATTAGGCCTAGCTTTTTACCCTTGCTCAACATATTGGTAGGATAGAACGTAGAACACATTTACGCGTAAAATGTAGTACACCTTTTGGCACATCTTCCGCCACCTCCTCTTTTTTTGTTTCAGTAATTAAATCAACACAACTTTTCTTGTTGACATGAGCGTAAAATGAAGTTTATACAATTAGATATTGGATAACTAAATCTAAAACACAATATCTGTTTGTTGGTGTGTTTGTTTTTTATTGTTGTTAATATGTTTTTTTGTTGTTGTTAATGTGTTTTTTGTTGTCGTTGCTAAATGATTTAGTTTTCCTTTTAGTCAGTTTGAGGTTTTGGAATAGAGATAACACACTCAATGTTTCTCACTCAGGCATCAAATTATACTAATAAGCAGAGATCGCTATAAAGATCAAACACCAGATTTGTTCGTACCGCTTTGAGATAACATAGTTGAAACCGTTTTATGAGTTAGATGTAAAAATAATTAACGAAGAATTTTCATTGTCAGTGCTTTTCACCGTGCATGACCTCATTGTAAATTGTTTCGAATAATTGTTTCAAGTCTAACAAGACACTGGATGATGTATTGTTGTAACAAACACCTGTGTATATAGATATATTTCCGAATGGTTATATGTCGTAAAGTTTTGTCACGTTCTGTAGAGGAAATTCTTCATTAGTGAAAATTTATTACCCATCAAAACTGACGGTTTAATCTAAAGAGAAAACTAAGTAATTTAATCAACTCACGTTAGCCAGCAGTACGTTTTAGGTGGTTCGAATAATAAAGTGACCATTCTCTGCTTTTCGTTTTTTTTTTCTAAGTTTCAACTAGTAAAAATTATTTGAACGCGTTGTTGTAACTGAACTATACATAAAAACTCCTGAAAACACAAAAATTATTTTAATAATTTGTATATGTATAACAGGCATACTTAGATCCTATGTACACAGCTGATAGTGTTATAACAGCTGCATATCTTATAATTATAATATCTGTATTTTAGCTTTAGATTGCCATAATAAACAAATTTATTAATAGAGGCAGAGAAAAGAAGCTTACGAAGTTACAACGTTGAATTCCGTGGTTCGATTCCCCGCAGTGGACAGAGTGCAGACAGCCCTCGTGTGGCAACATATATATATTTGATAGTGTTTTATTAAGTTAATTAAATAAATAGTTTTACTTATTTATACGACATAGTTTTATATGAATGACGCATTACAACTATTGTTTACATTTGATTTGTAAATTTTCTCAATTCTCGTCCACAAAGTACGAAGATTTGTTTAATTATTTAATTTTTTCATTAACCTTACAACAATCAATTTTGAAAACGTTTATTTTCAACTACGACTTGTCTCTTTATGGTCTCCGGAATTTTCTCAGTTTTATTGTTGTTGTTATTGTTTCATAAATCAGTTGAAACCTGTATGTTTGAAGAACTGTGACAACTAAAATCAATTTAACAGAACCAAACATTACGATTTTCACATAAAATCTTCCTCAGCGAATTACATAGTGCTGCCCATATCCCACAAGGGCGTGAATTATCCCCTCTTACACCTATGTATAGTATGTTGTTGTTTTTTCTCCAAATTTCGTCGCTAGTCAAATTGAAAGAGGTGATATTTATTACCCACGAACCTTTTAAAGCATTCATTATGTTATAATGAACAGATATGTGCAGCCAAATAAATCATCCTGCGTATTGAAGTGAATCTGCTGGATGTAAAAAAAGACAATTTCGAACCAAAAACATCATTCAAAATACTTATCAATATGCTTGTCCCCAGCTAATTAAATGGAGTAGCACAGAAAATGTTTAATAATGGACTGACGCTCTCAGAGATCAGCTGGTATACCAAGGTTAGAGTTATTTTTGTTTTTTACGCTTCCTGTTAAAATAAATCTTTGAATAGTGTGGATATATTATTGGATACAATAATCTGTAAACTTCCTTAATATCTCAACATTAATTTTACATACAAGTGTTTTAAAAACCATGAAAGGTTTTCATTATAAAACATATAAACTTTTTCTTTCAACAGGTGTTGTAATCATAATAACACAGAGATCGTTTTTATGTAAAACTGGATATGGCCTAGTTGTTGTGGATCTGCGGGCCCATCGCTCGAGTTTTGTTACCTCATTATAAAATAATAAATATCAATAATAACAATAATAATAATAATCGTGCTCTGCTCTCTGTGGCCGTGGTTGTGTTATAAGGGTGACAATCAAATCTCACTATTCCATGACACAAAAGTAGACAGTTCAAAATTAGGAAAAGCTAGCGCAGATAGCTCTTGAGTAGCATTACAAGATTTATTTGTTTGTAATTAAGCAAAGCTCTTCACATTGGGCTATCTGTGCTCTGCCCACCACCAGTATCGAAACCCGGTTTCTAGCGTTGTAAGTCCGCAAACATACCGCTGTGCCACAAAGAGGGGGGAGGTCATTGCAAGAATATCCAAAAAACAAAAAATCGTTTTACATAACGTGAATTCCCCAGTGCTAATTGTTATATTTATTTATGTTATCAAAAGTGTTATAACTATAAATAATATATGCAACTCTACCTATTGAAAGGCATTGGAAAAAATATTTTAGAATAAAAAAATGTGTATTTACAAAAAAAAAAAGAAATAGATAAAAAGAATAATGAATCTTCGCTTTTTTCTTCTTTTTTTTTGTGAAGAGCCCAGCAACATCCCTATCTGTAGACGTCATAACCTAGATTATCGAACATTTAAAGAAGGACGTTTTTCTCCAAAACGTCATACCCAACTGTCTTGGTTATTCTTCTTTTCCGACACTTCATGCTTTCCTTCATCTGATAAATCTTAAAAAAAAAGTAAGTAGGTTGTTTTCTCGGTGGCGGTCACGTCCGCTCTCCATCCGCCATTTGTTTCACAACAGACAGTCGTCCACGATTTGTTGGGGTACTCCATTCCCCTCATTCCTGCCGCCGGTGGCCTGACGCCTCTCCGACACTCAAAAAGCCTATCTGTCGGTCTCCACTAGGTGCTCCACTAACGCCTTGATACGTCATAGGGAATATGTCCTGACAGTGATCAAATGGTTCGCCCGCAGTGGCGCACGTTGTCGTAACGACATCAGGTCTCGGCCACCCAGAGTAGGTGAAGCCGTCTCTTTGATGAATCTGAAATACAAGAAATCTCTCATGGAAAGACTGATAATCATTTCAACAAAACCTTTCACAACACATGGTGTCTTAAAATGCAATCACTAACATACGGTGCAGTCAGGATCATATCTGAGTCTAAGTGTTTATATCTGCTTGTGTACCATATGTAGGCTTACCTTCATCGTATGAGTTTACAAATCGTATAATAAACTGTATTGATACATAATGATAAATATGTATGTATATATTGACTTATACCGATGGTAGATTTATGTATTTCAATAATCGAATAATAAACGTATATATATATATCTTAGGTTTAAATTATTGTTGTAACATAACGGTAAAGCCTAGGTAACATTAAGGAGTTAAGTCGTTCTTTATATATTTGTGTACAGGAATTTACGAGTATTTAACTAGCCGGTTCACGACGGTAGTAGAAAACACAGTTAGTTGTGTCTTATGTGAGATTAATTAATTAATTAATACAGTTTATACCATAACAGCTGTTGTTCATGAAATTGATGGTATAGTTTTGTTTTCAATTTCACGAAAAGTTACACGAGGGCTATCTGCGCTAACCGTTCCTAATTTAGCAGTTAAAGACCCACCGCCAATTTTTGGGCTACTCTTTTACCAACGAGTAGAGGGATTGACCGTCACATTATATCACCTCCACGACTGAAAGAGACGAGTATGTTTGGTTGGACGTGGATTCGAACCCGTGACCCTGAGATTGCGAGTCGAGCGCCCTAATTACCTGGCCATGCCGGGTCCTTGATGGTATGAATAGCGTTTAGACCATTACTGTGTCCCAGCCAACCTGATGAGTCCTGGCATTGGACGAAAGGCTTCGACTGCACTGTATATGACAGATGTAGGGTGATGACATATTTCTCATATATTCTTCTTTACTTTCAATCACATGTTCTCAGAATTGTATGATACGTTAGTAAATACCGAACATCGTACTAAAATGGATACTGTCAATATCTTATGAGAAAGGGGAAATCTTTTCAGTCTGCGTAACAGACCACATGCCTTAACATCCAAATACATAACGGTGTTTGTTTTTGAATTATCTTCAAAAATTAAAGGAATACATCAACCGAACTACTTGTCTACCATTCCAAAACAAGCTGTACTTTAGACCGTACTAGTCCTATACGTTTTACTAACAGATGTTCTACTGCCTTGTTTTTATTGTCGGGTTAGACACATTCCATAATGATGATAGCGTGCATCCTCCACATCTGAAGTTCCGTAACGTATATTATTTTATACATTTTTCATTGTTGTGGGTGTGGGTTAATAAATGTTACGAGACATTTGGACCGTTTGATACGGATAATACAATAGGAATAAGTAGATATAGGGGTTCCAATGTCAGATCAAATCGTGACACCTGTCACGAGAGGCAACTGTAGGATGATGTTGATTTATTAATGGTCCCCTATAGGCAGGATCTATCAGCAGACTGATTCCACACAGATTGTTTCTGTTCTTCGCGCCTCGCCAAACACCAGGAAACTTGGTTCGTTACCTTGGTAGAAGATGTGATGCAAGTTAGGGGTCATACAAGTAGTCTCATATCACCGAAGCAGGCTAAGATGTTTATTTCAGACGGTGGTAATTCTTTTCACTCGTGGCAACTCGACTTAGCACGATAAAATCGCGTTTCCTGCAACTCCTCACTACAGGTTCCATGGAGATATGCCGTTATGTAAAACTTAGCCTGTTGTTACTTGCCATATCATATTACACTTTATCCATAAATCAAACTCTTGAAAAAGATAAAGGAACACTCAGTTCAAAATGTTTATTAATACTTCATAATCGTGGATTTATCTCAGTGTTGCTGTCAGCTTACTGTCCAGCTTACTGATATGTATTACAGAATAAGATATTAAAGGAAGAAAAAAACACGATTTCTTTTAAGTTCCTGAGTACATCCGCAATGTTCTTGTTGATAATCGGCATTGTTTAAATGAAATAAAACACGACGTTTATTTATAAACAGTTTGAAAACTTATATTAAAAGCTCTACATGGTTCGACATGATTGTTGCGTTATTTTCAGGAGTAATTCACAAGACTCAGTGATCTAGGAAACGTTTTGATTTTCAAAAAGCTCTACACAATTTCACATGATTGTTGCGTTATCTTCAGAAGTAATTCACTAGACTCAATGATCTAATAAACTTTTTGATTTTCAAAAAGCTCTACACAGTTTCACATGATTGTTGCGTTATCTTCAGGAGTAATTCACAAGACTCAATGATCTAAGAAACTTTTGGATTTTCAAAAAGCTCTACACAATTTCACATGATTATTACGTTATTTTCAGGAGTAATTCACAAGACTCAATGATATAGGAAATTTTTTTTTGGTTTTCAAATAACTACGGTTCAACATTTACTCTGGCACGTTTTTTATTGATATTTAATATATTTGTAGAAAGAGAGAGCAATAGATGAGTATGAATCCGTTATCCCTGTAATAGGTTAACTGAGAAATCTGATGTAGAAGAGGGATTTATAACAATCCTTTCACAAAGAGAATCTATGGTACGTTTTACACTCTATAAAAGTTGTGATGCAACATAACATAAACTGTATTTCCGAAATACAGACTTGTTTGAACTATAGCACAATTGATGTTGTAGCGATAGAAATGTACAAGGTTTATGTATTTTCTAACAATACAAATTGTGTTCCCGAAATACAGTATTTTTTATAAACATAAGTTATGTGCGTATTTTATTCAAAATTGTGTTTACCTAAGTACTTTGTTATATTGTGAAGCTACATTTTTATTTTGTGTATAAAATCTAACAGACAGATTGTACATTAGCTTAGTTGCGTTGTATCTTGTTAACTCTATGATTAACAAATAAACTTGGTACTCCGAAAATTGTTTAATTTCGAAGTCTAAGTTCAAGGGAGGTCCAGTTCAATGTACATTTTGATCAACGTGTGTTATTACCAGTTTCGGAGCATTCCACTCCTCATCAGTAACTCTGAACACAATCAGCCAAAGAAAGATAAGCTGGACTTGTATAGTAGTGAAAAGTGTTAAACATATTATTAGTGTAAACATGCTTTATGGTCACTGTGTGAAAAGATAAAAAAAATAAAAAACAATTTTCGGAATATTAAGTTTATTTATTATATCTGATATATATAATGTGAAGAACTGAATAGTGGCAAATGACACCTTTTCTTCATTTCAATTATCCAGCACGTTCACACCAACAATATATTTGAGCTCTATAATTGTTTAACACAAGTTGTGTTGTTTTTAGCATAGGTTTGTTTACAATACAGGGATATAAATATTCACTGTATATTATAAGTTGTGCAAACGCGTCATTATTCGTGATAACTGTTTATTATTATAACCAATGCAGTATACCTGTTATTTGCTGTCGTAACTGTTTCAGTATATGTGACTATCATGTCTGTTGTATTTGTTTTACAGTACACTGTTATTAATTATTGTTCTAACGGTGTCAGTTTATGTGATAACTGTTATGAACTGTAACTATTTCGGTGTGTGTGCGATTAGTGCTTGATGTTGCGACGGTTTCTTTATACGTGTTGTTTGTTGTTGTAACTGTTTCAGAATAAGTGATTGTTGCTTTGTTTTTAAGAATACAGTCAAAATTAGGGTTGGCTCATTTTCCAGGTTGATTCCAGAATTAATGGAGATGCCAAACTTCACCTCTAGTAGCTCCAGATCCGGAGCTGTTCCGGTGCAGATCCACACTGTTCCTACAGTTTCAGCTGTTTTGGGCTATCGTATGTCATCCTTTTTTTTAAATCGTTCGATCAGGTTAGTTATATTTTTTTTATATAAAAGAGACAAGAATGTTAAATCTGGTTTTAAAATTTTATTCACTATTTTCCTTTAACTTCCAACGGTCGTTTATGAATTTGACAGATTATTAATAAGTTGGTGACGTAATGTCTAAGGTTTTGTTTCTAGAATTTTATTGTTATTAATATTATTTCTTTTCATATATTTAGTTCTTAATAAATGCTATTAACATTTTTACGAATAAAAGTTAAAAAAATATTCTTATTGTGTACGCAGACATGTTACATTAATGCACAATAACAATTTCAACTTTTTTATCGACCGCTGACAATTTCTTAAACGAAGGAGTTAAATTTGGATAAATACCTACTTTCTTATAGTTTTCCCCTAAGCTATGCTTTGGTTCAGTGGTTCACAAACATTTTCGTCTTCGGACCATTTCGGCGGGGCAAAAAAAAACCCGAGGACCACCTACCGGTTCTACTCTACATGTCCTGTTCTCTTGTATGGCCTCGGCCGTGGCGTCGTCGTACGTCAGTGACTTGCATTTTGGACCAGACTTGGTTGTGGTTTTGCTAAAATGATAAAGAATATTTTATCTATAAACCAATCTCTTTTATATAAAAATTCAGTTCCATCTACGCCAAATACGCCATTATCATAGCATTTAAGTTTTAATTTTAATTCTTTTTTTTTTGTGTGTGTATAACATGTCAATAGTTACCAATTTTTACTAAAACTTTATATTTTTGGAACGGGAGTAGTGTTTTTTTTTTCATTACTTCAACTATTCTCAATTATGCACAATATTTTATTTATAAAAGAATTACTTGTTTTTATGACTAAATAAAAATAAAAATCTAAGACACCAGGGATCGTAGTAATAAGGAAAAAAACAACGGTAAGTTTGTCTGGAATAAAGAACACTGAAGTCAAAGTGCTATGTATATATATATATATAAGAATAATTTTAACCTCTATAATAATAGGTTATATACTATTGTATACGATTTCTTATATATACTACTGTAATTATGAACGTTTTTCTAAGAAAGAGAAGTCAGTTGTAAATATAATTTTATAAAAAGATCTTCAAAAGATAACTAATACTGAATTTTACTTCGTGATGGTTTTTGTGCTATCAAATAAATAGTAAGTTTGCAGGCCATAAGCCCATTCTTTTGTATGGAAACTTGTATCTGATACTTAATGTAGCAGTAATGTAGACCTTTTAAATAACGTAATATTTTATCTCTACTTACAGTTTGTTTATCAGAAAGTAGAGCATGTTTCTGCAGAAATAAATAAAAAAATTAATGTGCAAGACACAATCTGTTGTTATCGAAATGCAGGCGATCCCATAACACGAAACGGTTAATGATCAAGTGTACTCCACCCCACTATGACATTGTCACTATCTCATTGTTTCTTTGGTGGCATTTGGGAACTTTTAGACAGTATGGTAGGATTTGGGAACTCCCAGACAGTATGGTGGGATTTCGGAACTCCCAGACAGTATGGTGAAATTTGGGAACTCCTAGACAGTATGGTGGGATTTGGGAACTTTTAGACTGTATGGTGGGATTTGAGAACTCCTACACAGTATGGTGAGATCTGGGAACTCCCAGACAGTATGGCGAGATTTGGGAACTCCCAGACAGTATGGTGAGATTTGGGAACTCCTAGATAGTATGGTGGGATTTCGTAACTCCCGGACAGTATGGTGAGATTTGAGAACTCCTAGATAGTATGATGGGATTTGGTAACTCCCAGATAGTATGGTAGGATTTAGTAACTCCCAGACAGTATTCCAAAAAGATAACCGATGTTTGTTTCTTTTCTTCTTGCTCCTTGAATATACTGTTGTGAACTGTATGTAATGTCTTTCCGGTTGCCTTTTATAGTTGAACACTATTACAATGTTTGTCATGGCACAATGTGCGCTGTGTTTACTCTATTATACAAATTCCAAACAACTTGGAAATATCTTTATAACACTTCTCAATTGTGTCATATTGAGGCTCAACTGATATTAGACAGTAACTGTTTTAAAATGGTATGAATAGACACTTTTGGCTGCACAGCGATAGACTCCTGCTGTTAACTCTAGGAGTGACTACTCAAAGCAATTTATACAGATTACCTTAGATAGACAATTAGAGTGGTCGCAAGATCTTGGGGTCAAGAAAAGGCCAGATTTCAAAATAAGTTTGCATTGGTCATATATCTCGAAGAGGAGAGAAAAGAATGTGTGTATTTCTGAATGGAAGAATCATATTTGAAGGACTAGTTCTTAACTCTATCACGATCGGTATGCAATTTTCAGGTGTGAAATGCACATTTGCAAATCAAATATCAAAATATTAGTAAGAAATACAATTTTAGATATATTTTAACAATTTGATATTCAGAAATATTTTTGAATTCATATTTCATCATTATATAACATTTATATAGTTGTGATTCACAAATAAAAGGAAAACAAATATAACAACTTTCATTTCTGCAATATTTGATTTAAACATTTTTTTTTCTCTCGCTGTTCCAAAATATAAGTTTATATTTACATTTGCTAAGAAGGTGCCACCCCTTGGAATAAAATGAATTATGTCTTGTTTCACGAGATTTAATTACTATAGTGCGAGCTTCGTTACCACCCTTTTATGATGTCACAGCATGTGGTCTGAAAAATTACTAATAAAACTCAGCTTTGAAAATAGCTGGAGCAAATGGCTAAAAGCAATTGGATAGAAGAGATTATTATCTATCTACGCCAATATAGTGTAAATAAAGTGGTATTAGCAGTAATTTTTAGTTTGTTGACACATTGGCTACCCAGAGCTCCCGTAGAGTTGAACAGAAAGATATATGTGTGTATACATATATATAAAGTGTAACGCAGGAAAAAGTGGAGTTACTCAACACCTCAGCTCCAACTCGAAGCTCCAGAGCATTCATTGAAACCAACCTCATCTCTGCTTCTGCTCTAGTATCACCAGCTCTAATTCTGTTTTGGAGTCTGCTCCAACGCCAGCTCGAGAGCTGACTTCAGGCTCAGGAGCAAACGGCCCTAGACTCAGAATTAAATATACAAAGTCTAGGTGATCTCTAATAATAATAGTAAATAAGTTTATTTCTTAGAAAATTTCCACTTCAAGAAGGAGTAGATAATGATTTTATAAATATCTACCATATAATCACTGTCATAATCAAAATCAGATTCATCCTATAATAGTAACCTTATACCTAACTTAAATATACAAATAATTAGTTAAATAATTACTCAATTTTCTCGTTCTCCTCATCTTCTTTTCCACATTTTTCTATACACACTTTCCTTGTTTATATTTCCTTTTATCATCTTCCAAATCTTTTTTTGGCCTTCCTTTCTTGATTTTACTTTAACCCATTCAAAATCCTTGTTTTGTTTCTTACCTTTTACGTTCCTCACACTCTCTCGTGTGTTCCATACTCTCTTCTTTCCTAATACATCTTCTACCTTTCATTTCTTATTTATCCACATCTTAACTTGTCCATGCTTCAACAAATTTTTCTTCTTCTCTTTCCCTGTCTAATTATTGATTTTTAATTATTTAAGTGGGTTTCATGAATTATATGCATTTAGAACACATAATTCTTATATAAGTCCTTATAATTAGTAAGGAACTTACCTTATGTTTAGAAAGTAGTTTTATGTTAGAAGATGTGTCAGAATTATATTCCAATAAGTTACATAACTCTCACAAGGAAACGCTGAGCATACGAATACAGGAAAATGATAAGCTGAAATTTGAGTATTCGAAGAATTACCCGTATCATTTATGTTTCCCATATTAATCAGTATTGGAATTTATCATCTTCATTCTATCTATATAAATATAAAAGTACCGTCTGTTGTATGTCCATGTAACTACTTCGCTGGGTGTGGATGGATCTTCATCAAAATTGATACATATAAATTTTCATTTTTGCATTTTGTGGTTTTCATGGGCGTTTTTACGTTTTTTACCACTACTTCGCCCCCTGTGGATGAATCTTCACCAAATTCGGTACGAAGGTTTATTAGATCCATGGAGAGACACATAAAAATTTCCAGTCTTTCATTTTGAGTTTTGCTGTTTTTATGGGCGTTTTTTACCACCACTACTACGTCATCCCCTCTTGATGGATCTTCACCAAATTTGGCATGAAGGTTGGTTGAGTCCATGCGGAGATACATGCAAACTTGCGAGTTCGCATTTTTTGTTTTCCAGTTTTTATGGGCGTTTTTGTGTGAACATAAATAATCATTTTTATCATTGTTATCTATTCATTTCCTTTTCAAGATTAGAAACTTTTAATAATAAAAATCACTAATTACGTTAAACTAATATTTAATTCACCGAAGAACTGAACAATGGGGTCGAAAATTCATGATGATAACAAATTATTGTTTAATTGAAAAGAAGTCCTCGAGTTTTGCTTAGTTTAAACACGAAATTCATGAATCACTCGAAACAAGACACGTGTGTCAAGTATAGGTTTTAATTTACTTCTTTGATATCTGTGTTTGCAAAAACCTTTCGACAAATAGTTATGTAATCCATGTGTAATATATTTACATATTTTATTGCATATGTGTGTGTATTTTAAAACTATATGTTGTGTTTTTTTTTCGTTCTACCTGAGTTTTTCAAATGTTGGTAGTAATGAACAATTATTATGATTTATTTATTTATTGTTAAGCACAAAGCAAGGCTACTTAATTTGATGACGAGAAACCCACTTTTTAGAAAATAAAGTATGGAGACGGTTTGCATGGGTAGTGAAAGAAACTTCGCTACAAATATACAACGTTTCAACAAGCTTATGTCATCTTCAGTTACCTAACAATGACATAAGCTTGTTGTATGGTTGTAACGATGTTTCTTTCACTACCCATGCAGGCTGTCTCCAAGCTATATAAGGCTACAAAATGTGCTCCCTGTGTTGTTTTTGCTGTACATGTTTCTAGCGTTATAAACCATCGGCCTTTAGTTTCGAAGTAATTATTTTCGTAAATAAGACAAGTGTAACTCAAAGTTTATGAAATTTTACATCGAAAATATATTGCTTGCTAAGACTACATATGAAAAATATAACCATATAAACATGTTGTGCATTATTATGCTTTACTATTAATGTGGAAGATTATTGAGATTTCATGCAAATGATTTAAATGCAAAAGCTTATTGAAACTTCACATATACAATGCCTGTCCACTTTAATTTAATGGAACTTGTTGGATCATCTTTTGTCATGAAAACAAGTAAATCTCTGCGTGTCATTGGCACAACAATATTCCAGGATATATTTAGACCAATTACAGACAGTTTGTCAGGATCTATTCTGTTAATTAATTCAGAGATATCAGTTCAAAACTGAGATAGTAAATTAGATCTTAAAGCTCATCTCAAGGGTATTAAATAAGATTGAAATCCAGTGATTCTGCTGAAGTTAACGTTATAAACCATTTATGGGATGGTGTGGACAGCAATTAGTTCACAGGTGTACTCAGAAGATTGCAATAATGAAGAAGATATTCACATTTATGAGA